ATTTCTTGGAGAACAAATAAACAAACAACCGTTTCAAGATCTTCTGCTGAGGAAGAATATCGAGCCATGACAACAATAACATGTCAACTAACTTGGCTTAGATATCTGTTCAAGATCTCGGGATATTGATCAAAGCACCAACAAACTTGCATTGTGACAACAAGGCAGCTTTACACATAGCTGCAAATCCAATTTTCCACGAGAGAACTAAACACATTGAGATGGATTATCACGTGGTTCAAGACAAGATCAAACTTGGTCTATTAGCTACAAAATTTACTGCATCTTAGACACAGGTTGTTGACATATTTACTAAAGCTCTTGGAAGGGGTCCTTTTATTCACGCATGAACAAGTTGGGGACAATCAATATTCATGCTCCAACTTGAGGGAGAGTGTTAAAATGTGTAAATAAATCATAACAGAAAGATTGAGAGGTTCCAAGGATATTAGCTATGATAGAGATTAGTTTGAATTTAAATTAAAGTAGCTATTTTCATGGGATTAGCTATGCGAATTCTTGTATATAACCTACACACGTATTTTGTATAACTTAATGAAGTTGAGCATATTTCTCCTTCAGTTACTTCAGATTTTTCTGTAATTAGAGGATTTTTCAGGAAGAGAACATTGGAAAGCTGTTCAGATGATATTAAGATACTTGAAGGATATTGCTAGCTATTCTCTGTGCTATCAAGGAAGTGATTTGTGCTTAAAAGAATACATAGATGCTAATTGAGATGAAAACCTTGTTGATCGCAAATTAACGTCGCGATATGCATTCTTGCGTAATTTAATAATTGTGCCATGTCTTGGAGTAGCAAGAAACAGACATACGTTTCTTTGTACACAATGGAAGTAAAATTCATACCATGTGCTCCAGTAGTATAAGAAACTGTTTGGTTAAAGAGATTCTTTCGGCACCTGAGAGTCCTTAATGGTTACATGGGACCTATTTTGATTTATTGTGATAATCAGGTAGCTATTACATATGCAAAGGATCTCAAGTCTTACAGTAGAATCAAATACATTGATATAAAATATAATTTTGCAAGAGTCATCATAGGAAAGATAGAAGTAAGTTTGCAATATATTTTTACGCATCAAATGGTAGTTAATCCATTTACTAATTCTATCCCTATAGATGTATTTGTTAATCTTGTTAATTCTATGGGATTGTGTAGAATTTGAATTATATACTATGTAAACTTTTTATATGTCCGTTAATTAACAATATTTTTGAGTTCATATGTTAAGAGTAATATTTTGTTATGATGATTAGATTACTGTTTAATATGCACATATAAAGTATTTCAAACATGTTGTCATTAGTTTACTCACACGAACAATCGCCTCAAGCAAATTGGGATGTGATGAGATCAAACAGGGCAATCATACTGTGTACATGATACAGTCGCTTTGATGAGGTATCAAGATGATATTGCAACAAATAATCGAAATAGCTTTTGCTATCCATTAAACTAGTTTAAAATCTAGATCGAGTTCTCGATTGGGATTGTCTAGAGGAATAAATAATAACTTATGTTAAATATCTAGGAATATCAGAATTATGATATGTACGGTGTATTTAATTTATAAGATTAGATATATGCCTTAAGAAAGGAAGAAAACATCATAACACATATTTCATAACACGTGTGCATTAATGACCAATGAGAAATGAAAGAATCGATTACTGCTTCTTTATTGTGTGAGTCTCTGAGGCACACATAACCTTACTTATATACCCTTATGACTTTTGACTATTTCTCCAAATTTTAATTCGGTATTGTTATACTTTATCATGTTGCCAATAATTATGGATGATTCGATTTGATGCGACATGTTTACAAAAGCAAATGACTTGAAATGAAGGGATTCAAATAGGAAAGAATGACTATTTTATCTAACACTTCACCTTGTATTCATTGATCGGACAATTGTGTTAACTATTTGAGTTTTGTGACACCATACAATATAAATAAAAAATTTGAGCATTTTTTTGATTAATTAAGGGGTTAGAAATACTCAAAATATGCCTAGGGTATAAATAGAAACATATCTAGTAGAATTGTTATATATTCTTAACAAGTGTATGGCATTGTGTGAATTAACTCGTTGGTCACATGATCCATTTATTTGTATGATCTTGGATATATTGAGATAATATAATTAACATTATATTAAGATTAGGTCAAGTTCATCATATGTGAGTGGAATATGTTGAAAAAAAGGCTTGCCCATGTGGGTGGATCCGACCCGAATTGCGTGGGAGTCATCTAGAAGGAGAAGTTGAGGGAGTTGAGGTTTTGAATTTGAAACCATAACTCCCTACCACCTCTAACTTTCATAAAACACCCACTCACCACAAAATCAGGCACAAGACAATGCAATTTGAATTTTACAATAGAGAGAAAAAAGCATGAGGATGGTAGCTTGATTTTGGAAGTATAACATCTCAAATTGGGTTCTTCGGTTGTGAATATCAAACTTCTTTCTTGGTGATTGAGTTTCTAACCGATAAGCAGGTACAAAATGATGTGAAAAGCATGCAATCAAAAGGCAAGTGATTCAACATCATTTTGTGATTTCAAATAAGTTTTACTATTTGGAATTCGGTTATAAGCGTGCAAGCTTGATTTACATGTTGGAAGGTCATAACTTCTTCAATTCTATGTCAATATTAATGTTCTTTATACCATTGGGAAGTTCTCGAGAAAATCTATCCAACCGCGTTAATGGACAATATGAAACCTAACGTACAAGAAGTTATCATGTAATGAAATCTCGATTTTCTAAACTAGTGCTCGATTTTTCTCCCAAAATATAAATCCAAATGAAGCAAAATTTTCTAGATATGTTCAACATAATATCATGAATATATGGTATAAATTTCATGACTTTATATAGATTATATTAAAATTTTCCATTAATGATGTTGAAGCTTTTCGAAGAAAACAAAATTAGTGCATTTCGATATTCTAAAATGTTTTAAGCATTTTTTAAATAAAGAACACAATCTACTTAGGCTTTGATGCCAATGTAAATCAAGCTTGCATGCTTATAATAGAATTTCAAGTAGTAAAACTTACTTGAAATCACAAAACGAGGTTGAATCACTTGCCTTTTGATTGCTTGCTTTCTACACCGATTTCTTTTTTCTTGTACAACAAATTATTTCATTTTCCAATTCTTATTGAGATGTTGCTCAGTCTGATTCTCAAGATGCTTGGACTGAACCACTCGAAGTCCATCCCTAAACCGGAGCAATACTATTTTGTGCATGTTTTTGGCAAATCTAGGCTTGGACATGGTTCAAGTTCGGACGAATTTTCATTTTTTGCCCACCCCTAAGCAAATCTCAACTTCGACCAACATATTTTTTTTAATCTACACCCATTTATTGTTTTATTTACACATTCCGTAAGAAACACAGCTTTTATGCACTTAAATAAACGTATAGAGTATACTTACACATAACACACTATATTTTAAAAAAATTATACTTTACATATTATACTGTACATTATGTTAACAAAAAAATAACTTTGGCTACAAGACACTTACAAATTTACCATAAAAAATAGTTAAATAAACGAAAATATTCATAATCGAAAATAACACATCACACCCTTTATGTTGCAGTATGTAACACTTTACGTACCAACTTTTTAAATTTTTTTCTCCAAAAGTTCAATTACTATTCATTATCATCTAAAAATTTAGTTTTTTTTTTTTTTTCCATCCATCTCTACATAAATTAACATTCACTATTATTTTTTCCTCATTCATCTATCTCTACATAAATTAACATTTACTTTTAAATTAAGAATTAAAGAGTCAATTTGGAAAAATAATTTATTAGCTGCCTAACGTCGACAGTAATAAGAATGCAAAATTACACTTTTCTCTGGCTGAAACAATTCTAAAACTGACAATTATTGAAATTTTAACAATAATATTTATTATTATTTTTTTATGATTCAAGAAATTTTTTATTTTTTTTACAGCAACATAAAATTGGCATTCAAGATGCATTTGCAACTTAATAAATCTTAATCCGACTTGATCAGACAGCTTTATATCGCTATTTAAGTTCAAGTCATGTAGTCTTCTATAAATATACTATTTATTTAGCTTTGATATTGTATTCCCTGCCTCGAGACGGGAAAAAGTTCAGTCGATTATTCGTTTCACATCTTTAATTACAAGTTGTCTCTCTCTCAGGTATGTATTATTTTTTATTTTTATTTTCAATAAAACGTGCTAGTTGCTACATCTATAGTTGGTTAAAAAATCATAAATAATAATGTATTACCTCCCTAAAAAAAAAAAAAAACAAATAACACCAATATTTCTTTAGAAAACAATTCTTAATCATGGGTTTCATGATTTACTAGTCCTTGATTGATCTCCATTATTTTCAAAATACATCTTTCTCTTTCTTTTTTTAATCATACATTCTCTATCAATCTACGATTTCAAAATAAAATCTTAACAAACTATGATTAAGCCATAAGCATACGTAATGTTTATAGTGAATTAAAACTTTAAAATAATAGAAACGGCTAAAACGTAAGAAGCAAGCGAATAGCAATTCCAAAGATGACAAAATCAAATTGAAACGTCTATTCTTTCCAAATCAAGTATCATTCAAAGAGTTTTCTTTGCATAAATATTATTTAAAATATCAAACACGTGTATTGAAAATAATTTAAAAACCTTAAAGAATTACTATAGGTTCTAGGAGGAAAATGTTAAAAGGCAGTTTCATCAAGCAGCCCTACAAACTACAAGCGTGCATGGGAAAAAGTGGCGGCCAGCCTGAGTTAGGTCCCATATCGATGAAAAAGGCCAAAGATCATGATAATAATAAAGTTGTTATGGGTCCATGAAGATGTGATCACGTACGTGTTCCACGCCAGTCTTGTCTGGAAAATCTTGCTCATTGGATTTGGATTTTTTTTTGGGTAATAAATCTTCTGCTATTTCTCGATATCCTGGAAACCACAATATATTACCCTCCAGGTTTTCCTCTCAACACGGTGATTCATAAACTCAAAATAGCAAGACGGAGATAAGAATAACTAGAGAGAGAGAGAGAGATGGCATGGTTTCCAGTTATTAGTATGAAGAAGCTCAATGGAGAAGAAAGGGCTGCAACAATGGAGAAGATCAAAGATGCTTGTGAAAACTGGGGTTTCTTTGAGGTACAAATATAATTAGTTCCGTTACTTTGCAACTTAACATACATAGAACCGAAGTGATTCTTAAATTTGAACTAATAATTACTACGGTTGTTGATCTGGTAATTAAGCAGGTTAATCATGGGATTTCTCCCGAATTCATGGACAACGTAGAGAGGATGACAAAGGAACACCACAGAAAATGCATGGAACAAAGATTTAAGGAAATGGTGGCGAGTAAAGGACTTGAAGCTGTTCAATCTGAAATCAATGATTTAGACTGGGAAAGTACCTTCTTCCTCCGCCATCTTCCTGTTTCAAACATAGCAGAAGTCCCTGATCTTGAAGATGAATAGGGTTAATTACTCAGTTTTCATAAGCAAATTTTACATCTGGGATTCTTTGATCGTAGTTTAATATTTTATGAATGCTAACAGGAAGACTATGAAGGAATTTGCAGCACAACTAGAGAAATTGGCTGAGCATCTTCTTGATTTGCTTTGTGAAAATCCTGGACTAGAGAGAGGCTATCTGAAAAAGGTATTCTATGGCTCTAAAGGCCCTACCTTCGGAACCAAGGTCAGCAATTATCTCCCATGCCTCCAGCCGGATCTCATCAAAGGACTTCGAGCACACACCGACGCCGGTGGCATCGTCCTACTTTTCCAGGGTGGCAAGGTCAGTGGCCTCCAGCTTCTTAAAGACGGTGAACGGGTTGATGTCCCACCTAAGCACCACTCCATTGTCATCAACATTGGCGACCAACTCGAGGTATGCTCAACAGTAAAAGCTACTAAAACCCGTATTTTTTATTGCGTATCTGCTTATTATTGCTCATTTAATTGAGATTAAGGCTTAATTCCTTCCGACTTTGTGTGAAGGTGATTACAAATGGAAAGAATAAGAGTGTGATGCACAGAGTGATTGCGCCCACAGATGAAAATAGAATTTCCCTTGCATCATTCTACAATTCTGGAAGTGATGCTGTGATTTATCTAGCATCGGCATTGGTAGAGAGCGAAGAGAATAAAGATTTGTACTCAAAATTCGTGTTTTCGGACTACATGAAGCTCTATGCTGGTCTCAAATTCCAGGCTAAAGAACCAAGATTTGAAGCCGTGGAAAACACAAATAATTTGGGTCCAATTGCTATTGTTTAAGCTCCCGTTTGATCCCCATTAATTTTCATTCCATTATATTTCATTTTTCTCTTTTTTATTTTCAATCACACAATTTTTCATAAAATAATATTATATATAAATTGAAAAATTTCTTTATTTTTTCAACCACTCTTTTTCAAAAAGACGCTATTCCACCCATTCTCATTATTAAAAAATGGGGGCCAAATAAGTGCTAAGTAGTAATTGGATTAAAGTTCACTATTGAAAAGTCTTCATCTCCTCAGTCCAATCTTAATATAGTCCTCTTATATTTGGAAGGATTGTGAGCTTATAAAATTTTCTCTGCTGATCAAAGAATTTATATCTGTCCTGAATTCTACTGTATTTACTATTTACAGAGTAAGAAGCCAATCTTGAAGGGTAATTCAGTGATCAAGATCTTGAGTTTGCTCCCAAATGGTCAGCAGTTCGAGTCTCCTCAGAACTACTGAGTTGAGTACCTGGCTGTAAACTTTAGGTCCCGTGAGATTAGTCGAGGTGTGCATAAACTGGCTTGAATACCCATGATCATTAAAAAAAAGAAAAAAAAAGCCAAGGATAACAATGATTTGAACAATTGAACTACCTTTTTTTTGTTTTTGGAAAAATAATTGCTTCATTGATTGCTCTGTCAAATCAAATAGCTAGTTTTACCGAACCTAAGAGGAAATAATCGTACAGGTAGATCCTAGTTTACAACTAGACTTATCGAATTTGCACTTGGTACAATCTCGCATTATCTTTTACATTTTACACATTTAAATCAATCATCACAATCTTGCCACATTACCCCATTTATCAATCAACAAGGTGTCAAAATTAATATACAAATAGCTTAATTGAAAAGGAAAATAATCCTATCAAATTTTTGTTGGAGCTGAGATTCATGGCTCTATTCGCCTGCCCACTCATTTACTTTATGAATTTATACATTCGTTTTGCAATAAAATTCATTTTCTTTTCCTAGAGCCTGTTTGACAACCATTATTATAGGAAAAATAGTTTTGAATTGTGATTTTTTGGAGAATGTGTGGGTAAAAAGTAGAATTTTTTTTGATATATGTGTAAAATATTTTATTGCGTGAATGTGTCATTAAAAATAATTTTGTAGTAAATCATGAAATAAATTAACGTGTATCAAACATACACTTAATTTTTTTGCTTTTCACAGTTTGTTTGTTATCGACGTAGATGTCACTTTTTTGCAGTTAAATTCACCAATGATCATCCAACTTCATAGTTAGTGTCACATTGGCCACCCAATTTGATTTTGTTTCACCATGGCTACCCAACTGCATACTTATTGTAACATTAGCCACCTAATTTAATTTTGTTTCACTGTAACCACCCAACTTCATACTTAATTTCAGTGAATCCACTTGGTAATTTTACTTAGTATAATCAAATTTGGTGGCCAATGTGACATTAAGTATGAAGTTGAGTGAATTATCCAAGTGGTCACTGAACTTTGTAAAAGGTTTCCATGGGGTAACTGAACTTTAAAAATCATCCAATTCATCACTGAACTTTGTAAAATGTTTCACAAGGTCATTGAACTTTAAAACTCACCTAACTCATCACTGAAATTTGCAAAAGGTTTTCCTTGGTGACCCTCGAAAATCTTTTGCAAAGTTCAGTAACCCCGTGGAAACCTTTTGTAAGGTTCAGTGATGAATGTGGTGATTTTTAAAGTTCAGTGGCCCCATGAAAACTTTGTGCAAAGTTTAGTGATAAATTTGGTGATTTTTAAAGTTTAGTGACCTCGTAAAAACTTTTTATAAATTTCAATAACTATTTGGATAATTCACTCTTAAGAAGTTGGATAGTCATAATGAAACAAAATCAAATTGAGTGGCCAATGTAACACTAACTTTGAAGTTGGGTAGCTATGGTAAAACAAATTCAAATTGGATGGCCAATGTGACACTTAGTATAAAATTGGTAGGCCATTTGTGGATTTAACCCCATTTTTTTCTTTACGCAAAATGCTATCTCACTACCCATAAATGACTTTTTATTTATTTATTATTATTTAGGTTTTTTGTTCTTTGTATTTGATAGCTAATTTTGAAATTTTTTTATTACTTTTAAATGTGTAATATTTGAGGCAATAAATTGTAGTCATCATTCAAATACTTAACTGATTTTCAGAAGGTCTTAGAATGTGAGAATTGATTTTCAAACGAATCAAATGGTGAGTAAGTGTAATAGGCATAATATTTCTCAACACAAAACTATGTGAATTGACTATGATTGAGCTAAAATGGTTGCTACGCTAGTAAAAAAATTATATTTAGGGGCTTCATAGTATTTTGTCACCTTAAGCCTCAAAATTCTCAAAGTGGCCTTGATTGTGTTGACCTTGAAATTTAGTAGGATCAAGCAGTTAACAACTCACAGATACCTTCCCGTCCCCCTATACACTGCTTGCAGAATAACACATCTTATCCGTTCGAGGACTCCATGAATCTCTATGCTGGTCTCCAATTCCAAGGTAAAGAACCAAGATGTGAAGCCTTTAAGGCCATGGAAAAACTATTAATTTGGGTCCATTTTTGCTGTCTAAGAAGTAATTAGCTGAAATCCAATAGTATCTGTTTTTTTTGTTTTTTTTTTTGTGCTCTAATTGTACTAAGATAGTCCATCTGTTTATAATACTTTTCTTCTATCCAAGTTGTAAGCTTATAAGGTTTCTTAATGAGAGTGTGACCCAACCTTTTCTCCACGAATCAAAGAATTTAGCCCATGTTTGACAACTTTTAAAAATTTAAATTGTTTGCTACAACATCAATTTTCACCACAAACATCATTTTTCACCACATATTCACACAATGAAATATTCTACATACAAACCAATAAAGTTTTCTTACTTTTTGACCGCACATTCTTCAAAAATGCTATTCAAAATTCTTTAACTTTTAATATAATGAGTATCAAATAGGGCCTTAATACAATTTGTACAAAATTTTATACGATCAAACTATTTATTCATAAGGAAATCTGCTTAAGAAAAGCAAATACATTCAAGAGACTTCTAGCAAATGTCACAAACACAGTTTTGTGCTAATAGAAGCCTATTTTCTGTGCAAGAAAGAATACTTGTGGGCCATAACTGATGTTAGCCCTCCACCATTTGGTATAGAAAATGTCTTTTTCCTATAGTAGTAGTTTTTAGTAGAAGTCAAAACTATTACCATTTGACATATAATAAAGCCGATTTGGTGAATCTCTCATTGATTTCATTTTTAACACTTCAAGCAATACTTTGCTACCAACTTCCACGAGGGCAATCTTGATTAGGCAAATCCCAGATTGATTTCATTCTTATAGTAATGAAAATCTAAGTACTTTCTTACCGCTACTATTGAATTTAAAATGTAGTGTATAAATGATTATTACAACTACGTCACACTAAAAAATCAAACCAATCGACCTAAAACTTCTTCAACACCACCAATGGAGTGTCATATGATGTTGAGCTCAAATTTGTGCCACACTGAGTCATACAACATTGTCCACGAGAATGGTAATTTATATATTAAGAGAACTGCCATAGGCAACCAATAATTTCACCGGAGATATAAACCTCTCCCACTTAGCTCCTTTCTATATTTTTTCTTTATGTTTTCCAAATCTAAATGAAAACAAGTGAATACACATATAATTATAAAGCCAAAACCATTTTGAATTCAAAAGTCAAAACTAATGACAAGTGACATGGCAAGGGATAGAAAGTGACTACAAGATTAAATCCAATGATGAATCCACAATTATATCAAACTAACACAATCATTGTCAACCACTCATGCCCAATAATCATATGCCAAGTGGATTTAAGTGATCCACCTCACAAATCTTTACCTTGGATCACAATGTAATCCATCACCGAATTTCCTAATTACAAGTGATATCCATTTATATGGTCTTATTTCATCATCATCCCTCACTCCAACTCAGTACCTACACAATAATTAGTTATTATCAATACTCAATATTGATAAACATTTGTTGAACTTACCAATCCGAAGTACTTTTGTTCCAACATCTGCAGTAATATCATCAGTTGCAATTTTAAGCAAAATAAAATCACCAAAAGCTAACTTCTTCCTAATGAAGTTATACTTCACCTCAACATGTTTAGAGCATTAATGATAAATAGGATTTTTAAACAACATCAATGAACTTTGAATATTAGTAAAAATTATAGCATTATCATTCAAGAAGTTTAATTCACATAGAAGGCCTTTCGCCACATGCATTCTTTTACAGTTTTAGTTAATGCAACATATTCTATTTCAGTGCTGGAGAGTGCAACAATAGGTTGCAACTGTAATTTCCATGCGATATAATTATCGCCTAAAGTGAAGAAATATGAAGTGGTAGATTTCCCCTAATCTTTATCCCTCACAAAGTCAGAATCTACATATCATTTAAGCTCTAACTTTTCATTTTTCATTTAAACACTAATAATCTTTTTAAAGTTTCAGCTAGATATCTTAACAACCATTTAAGTGCAGTCCAATGAGGTTTACTTGTGTTAGACATAAACCTACTCAAAAAACTAACTGCATATGAAGGGTCTGATCTCATGGTAATCATAGAATACATCATAGACCTAATGGCATTAGCATAGGGAACATTACTCATTTCATGCATTTCTTCTTCTGTTTTAAGGCGTTGTGCAGATGATAAATTCATAGTAATGGCATATTGACAGACTTAACAAATTTCACACCAAATTTGATTATGACTTTGTCCAAATAGGACTCTTGATTAATAGTCATCCTATTATCAGCTTTATTCCTTTTAATAACTATGCGAAGAATTATTCTTGCATCTCCCAAGTCTTTCATGTCAAATTTCGATTTTAAAAGGTTTTTCATCCTAATGATTTCAGCTTTACTAAAGCTACAAAGCAACATGTCATCCACATATAACAATAAATAAACTTCATAGGCTATTTTAAAGTTATTCCAATTTTAAGCACATAAGCATCAAATCTTTTACATCATTGCCTAGAACTTTGCTTAAGACTATATAAGGACTTTTTAAGCAAACACACAAGTTCATATTTTCCCCTCACCTCGAATCCTTGAGGTTGAGATATATAAATCAATTCATCCAACTCCCCGTGAAGAAAAGTCGTCTTAACAAGTAGTTGTTCCAACTCCTAATCATATTGAACAACCAAGGTTAAGACTAACCTACTAGTTTTATACTTAATGATTGGTGAGAACATCTCATTATAGGTTATCCCCTCTCTTTGAGTAAACCCTTTCGCAACCAACCAGCTTTATATGTTAAAGGTCCTATTTCTTCTTTCAACTTTTAGATCTATTTACAATGATTACCTTTTGATTTTCTAATTTTTCAATCAATTTCCAAGTCTCATTTTTG